AGAGAGAGAGAGAGAGAGAGAGAGAGAGAGAGAGAGAGAGAGAGAGAGAGAGATAGAAGGGAGAGATGGTGGTTGCAACCTAGGCAACCACGAGTGAGAGCAAGATGGTGGTAAGACGTTTAGCTGCTACACACATTAGAAACCAATTTCACATAAAATTTAAATAACTGATGCACAATGTGTCACTATGAAATAGCAGAATAATTGCGACAAAGAGGCTCATATCAAGTAAACTCTATCCTGCACGAGATTGCAAAATCATTAGCACAGATTACCATCTCCAATAATAATGAATCTATTTATGGCATGCACTACACATTACACGATGCTGACGACACAGCTAGTAACACTCTTCTTAACTAAACCAAACTCTCTGTACGGTCTACGCGAGTACTATGCGATCACACAAACGAAGCTCATGTGCGTACCTTGCAGGTTATAGTAGTTGGGGTTGAGGGTCATGCGTCGGTAGAGGAACGTCCACGTGATGTAGTCGACGGCGTCCTGCTTGTTCTCCACCGTCTTCGTGACGATCTCGGCGTTGAAATGGTCGTGCAGGCAGTGATCGAGGTGAGACTGGCAAAAACACAGCAGCAGGTGATCAGCAGGGACAACAACTGTGAGCCGCCTAACATGAAAACCCTGCGCAGGATGAACTACAATAACAGTGACCAAAGTTGCTAACAACAGTAGAACCATTCAATGCTGGACCACACTGGGGGGGGGGGGCAATAATGGTACAGCCTATAAACCGTCTACTGAGAAAAATCTGAGCATGATGTGCTATAATGATAAAGCAAACAACAGTTCTGAATGACACTAGAATGGTACAGTACAAACGTGTGAGAGCTGGGGGGCTGCTTCGCATGCCAGCTAACAATAGGTGGACCTTCCTGGTCATGTGCAATTGCTTCTATAACTAATATAGTTTCATATATAATATGTGACTCGGCTCGCACAACCTTCAAGTGAGCATAAGTTACAAGGTGGCCTTACTTCGACTGGCAGGGGTTCGTAGAGGAACTTCTTGTAGAACTCCTTCTTTGAGCCCTGGCACAAGATGACACACTTTCCATCCTCATCCACCAGGGGGCGGTTGGCGCAGCCGACCATCTGCAGTACGTCGGTGATGGGGTAGTCGACGTAGCTATTGTAATCAGACAGGTGAAGATTAACCTATAGCACTATTAGCAGCAAGCTACTAATCGCTGTACAGGTTTTCTCTTGCTTGAATTAATACAAATACTAATTGAAACACATTTTAGTATGATAATTATTATGTGATTGACCTATTACTAACTGATAAAAACTGATATCTTAACTACTGTAACAAACTTGTTCTTTGGTTGTTCACTTGTTGACTAGCAAGTGAAAGTGTCAGTGAGAAAATAAGTCATGACTGAAATGGTGTGATTATGTGATCTCGGTGATACCAACAAAATTCAAAGTCTTTTGGGTCTTTAGACTCAACAATACACACGTATACAAGTATACACTAGTCACGCTAGTGTGCGAACGACTACAGTCACTACAGTTCAGATAACAATGGTAGCAGGAGAGAGATGAACCAGCATGCTGCGTGTGTCTCACGTACGCGTGTATCTTGCCGTTGTAGTACTGCGTGTCCATTATGACGGTCAGATGAGCATTGATCGTCAACCCCCAACACAGGTTCTTCGATGCCACCACCACCTGGATGGCGCCACTGGTGTACAGCTGCTCGACTATTTTGCGATCAAGGTCGGTGAGACCCTCGTGGAGGTAAGCAACTCCGTTCGTCAACGTTTCTCTCAGTGTCTGCAAAAAACGTAAACTATTTTGCACTAGTCTTCCGAATCACCTTCCCCAAATCGTCGTTCTTAGAATAAAAAGAATTGGATTCATGATCTCGACACACATGGGACACACTCACAGGTTAAAATACCACACTTGAGTACAGAGTACTACACTCAGCGGTAGTCAGGTTAGCTTTCCCTTTCCCACGCATCCGAGACAGGCAAATGTGATGAGAAAAACGCCAATTGGGCAACAGGACACTAGAAGAAGTGCCTGTGCACTACCCCACACTCACATCATCCCACCCTGCGCTTAATTACCTGTCACCTTATTGTTCACATGGTTCCACCTTGCGTGTGACTACCTCTCACCTTGTTGTTTACGTGGTTCCACCCACGTGCGCGACACTTACCTCTTCACCTTGTTGTTCACCGTTGGGCTTCCACCCGCACACAGCGACTAGCCTCTCACCTCGTTGCTTCCACCCCTGCACCCGGGGCGGGCGCCGACTAACCTCTCACCTCGTTGTTCCACCCGGCATGCCGCGACTACTCTCACCTCGCTTTTCCAACGCCTGCAACGGCGCCGACTACCTTCTCACCTCGTTGTTCCACCCCGCACGCCGCGACTACCTCTCACCTCGTTGTTCCACCCTGCATCCGCGTAACTACCTCTCACCTCGTGTTCCACCCTGCACGTTTGCGACTACAACCTCTCACTCGTTGTTCCACCCCGCCACGACAGACGTACTCTCACCATCTTGTTCCACCCCGCACGCCGCGTACTACCTCTCAACCTCGTTGTTCCACCCGCTGCGCGAATACTACTCTCACCTCGTTGTTTCCACCCCGCACTGCGCGACTACTCTCACCTCGTTGTTCACGCCGCAGCGCGACTACCTCTCACCTCGTTGTTTGTCCACCCGTCCACGCGCGAAATACTCACCTCGTTGTTCCACCCCGCCACGCGCGAGAGAGACTACCTCTCCACCTCGTTTGTTCCCCCACGCACGCGCCGTACTAGCTCTCACCTCGTGTTCCACCCTGCACACGCCGGACTACCTGCTCACCTCGTGTCTGCTTCCACCCCGCACGCCGACTACCTCTCACCTCGTTAGTTACCACCCCGCACGCGCGACACCTCTTCACCTCGTTGTTCCACCCCGCACGCGCGACTACCTCTCACCTCAGTTGTTCCACCCGCACACGCGACTTACCTCCAACCGCGTTGTTCACCCCGCACGGCGACTACTCTCACCTCGCGTGTTACCACCTGCGACGCGTGAACTACTCTCACCCTCGTTGTTCCACCCGCACGGCCGACTACCTCTCACTCGCTTGTATCCACCCCGCAGCACGACTACCTCTCACCTCGTTTGTTCCATCCTGCACACGGGACTCCTCTCACCTCGTTCTGTTCCACCCGCCACGCGGCGTACTACCTCTCACCTCTGTTGTTCCCCCCGCACGCCGCGGACTACCTCTCACCTCGTTGTCCACCCTGCATGGCGAAGACTACCTCGCTCACCTCCGTTGTTCACCCCGCACGGCGACTAGCCTCTCACCTCGTTGTCTCCACCCTGCATGCGAGACTACCTCTCACCTTCGCTTGTTCCACCCACTTGCGCACTAGCTCTCACCTCGTGTGTTCCACCCTGCCATGCACGACTACCTCTCACCTCGTTTGTTCACCCTGCACGCGCGACATACCTCCAACCTCGTTGTTCCACCCGCATGGCACGACTAGCTCTTCACCTCGTTGTTCCACCCTGCAACTTGCGCGACTACTCTCACTCGTTGCTTCCACCTGCATGCCGAGACTACCTCTCACTCGTTGTTCCACCCCGCACGCGTGACTAGCTCTATCCTTGTCGTTGCCAGTTTCTCCAGTAGGGTCCGAAGTCCTTCTCGCTGACGTGCAGAAAGCGGCGGGCCTCATGTCGCCGCCGCGAACGTCATGGATGTCGATCGCGGTGAAGCGCCGCTGTCTGCTTGCGCGACGTCACGAACACGACGACGAGCTTCATTGCCGACTACTTGAGCATGTGGTTGTAGCGGGCTTGACCATCGCGAGCAGACGCCGACGCCGTTGTGCTGATGTTGAACCCTGGGGCGAGCAGGATGACCGTTTAAAAAACAACGTTAAAGCATTAAATATAATGCCATGGCTACGCTGTCCGGTCATGTGCTTCTAATGCTGAAGCAACCAAACTATATTTTTTCAGTAAAAAACAGCAAACAGAAGTTTTTAACCATAATATTACTTACCTTTAGGTATTTTATTCAAAAAAAAATGTTTTTGTAAGCTTTTGAACGCAATAATAGTAAAATCCAGTAAAATCAACGATTTGCAAAGACGTGGACTAATAATTCAGTGCCTAATCTGTGACTATGATAAGGATGTTGGGAATCATGAGGTTGCTTGAGTTGCTGGAAAGGTGAGAATGACTGAGGAAACGTAGCCACAATGAGTTAAACATAAACATTTAGTCTTGTACCGTCGTTTGTTCGCTTCGTCAAATTTGTCACGAGTTAGCGCGAGAGGAGTCCTTAAGCGAAACAATCGAACGCTGAATCACCGGACGTGTGCACACAACGGCACTTCGCGCGCCTAAGGTTTGTCCCGTGGTAAAAATTTACGAAGTTGAGCATTCCCCCTGTTACGCCCAACATAGATGCCTATATATGCTTCTAATATTTGGATGCCAACATTGCGTTGCAGGGATGCACACGATTTGTTTTACTTGAGGCCAACACATACACACGAGTTGTGTGCATGCAACATGTTTGCAAGATGTAATGTTACAGCAACTTAGTCATACTTTTATGACCAACACACACATGACATTATACGACGACGTGTTGCTACGTAACCACCCATACAGTGGCTGCATTGACATTAAATATTTGCATTCAAACACATGTACGGTGGGCCGAGGGTGTGAACTGTGGATGCTTGTGCTTGTTGTTGCACAGCCTGCTCCATCAGAGAGTTTTATGTTCGTAAAGCCAGCTTCTTCAATTCAACACTAGTCAAACGTGCCGGACATTGTTGCGATCGCCGATAAATCGCTTCATCGCGGGAGCGGGCATTACTACACGATAAATTCGAAATAGCATCATTTTGAAAAAAAAAGTTGCGATCGCTACGACGACAGCTTACACGACGCGACGGCGGTCCAGCAGGAGAACCGGCATTACATTAGAGAGGCGATGCGGCAAGGAAGCATTGATCACTGCACGCCCGAGCGCTGCGGGATGTTGCGCGCAGTTCCCCGCAAGGCGCCGCGGGACGCTTTATTCACCTGGGGAACGTGCAGCGATAGTATCGGACGCTGGCAGCTGCTTGGCATTCCCGTGCGCCAAATCCATAGTCCGTCGCACATACTGGATGCATAGCTTATAGCAAACACTGGTCGAATTTGCGCGGGGGCGGATAGGGGAAGTGTAACCCCCTAGAGTACGGCCGGCACGCGCTCTCACCTGTTATGTGAAGCTCTGAGGGGCACCGCCGCCACGTTCGGGCTGGAAGTTTGAAGCGTGCTGTATGGCCGCCGCGCAGTCCGAGCCACTGCGCCGACGTCCTTCGCGTTGCGGGCCCTGGACGAGCTCAGCCGCCACCACGCGGATGTTTCGCTCGATCTGCCGACGCCGATGTAGCGCATGCGCGACGCACATGACCTCGATGACGCGCTGAACAAAGCGAACGCGTTGAGTGTTGGCGATGTTTCTGCCTCGATCTGCCGCACGCGAGTGTAGCCGTATGCGCCGATACACACGACTCGCCATGCACCGCTGAAACAAGCGCGACGCGTTAGTGTTGGCGATGTTTCGCTCGCATCTGCGACTGTCATGTAGCCTGCCGCCGAGCACACGACCTCGGAATGACCGGCTGAAACAATGCTGAACGTTAGTGTTTGGCAGATGTTTCGTCGTCTGCCGACGCATGTAGCGCGCATGCGCGATCACACGACCTCGATGACATGCTGAACACAAGCGAACGTTATGTGTTGGCGATGTTTCGCTCGATTCTGCGATCGCAACTGTAGCGCATGCGCGCGACACACGACCCGATGACCGCTGAACACAGCGACAGTATGTGGTTGGCGATGTTTCGCTTCGTCTGCCCGACCGAATGTTAGCGCATGCGCGAGCACACGACCTCGTATGACCGGCTGCAAACAAGCGAACGGTTAGTGTTGGCGATGTTTCGCTCGCATCTGCCGACGCCCGATGCTAGCGCATGCGCGAGCCACACGACGTCCATGACCGGCTGCAAACCATTTCGCGGAACCGTTCAATTAGTAGTGTTGTTGTTGAGTATTTGAGATAAATAGTGAAAGCAACATAGTCTATTCATTTGTAATATCGCGTCAGTGAAATCCAGTTATGGCTTAATGTGAGAAAGCAAGGAACGTCACTACACACACAACAACATTATCAAAATCAAGGTCATATATTAGGCAAACAATTTTCATTGAGAGATTTGACATAAATAGTACTATCAATATGAAATATATTTTCTTGTAAATATAGCATATCGAATTTCAGGTACAGTTAACCAACCATAGTACACAGAAACAAATATTTTAAGGTATGATAGTAACAGTTGAACAAATACGAACCCCATCTCTCCTCCAATCAGTTGAAGGTCATCAACGATGAACAGGTGAATGTTCTGAACGTTCTTCGCTGTTTTCCATCGCCTTGACAACACATCCCACTTTCTCAGGTGCTAATAATAATGTTCCCTATTTACAGAAAAACACCTTTAAACAGCAATCTTAGCAATTGTGACCCGATTTTATGCATAAACACACCTGATATATATACTTATCAATTTCACGATATATTTATGTAAGAATGACATGCGGCTAAAAGATTTTCAGCACAATCGTCTGTAGATACAATATGTTGATTAAACTGTGCTAGTGGATGTTGCATTACAGTAGCAAACCTTACCTTAGCTAGCAGTTTGAGATCAGTCCCTGTCTCTCCAGTGAGAAGAACCACCTTCTTACCGAGCTGTAAGGCAAACTTGTTGTGCCAATCGTGTAGACCTGTAAAGAGGACAGATGCGATATATTAAACACACCATGGCAGTAGGTAGTTGCATAGTAGCAGTATGCATACCACAGTAAGTTATGTATACCACATGAAGTATATATTCATGTTCTCTATATAGCCTGGCGCCTGTAGGATGAATCGATATGATAATTTTAAAGGAATAATAGGACGGTCCATTGATTATGCAATGTTGACGAATGCTAGAGTAACTGGCACCTTGCTGTTAGTTAATAAGTACATTTACCTTATAGCCAACAAGCGTTATTAGTTTGTCCAATATCACTGCTGGTTACTGAAAAACTGTCTAATTTGAAATCCCCCCGCAGCTTCCAAAAATCAGTTGTTTACAGTTTCAAACTGCTGCCGGCGAGCGGGTGTGCTCATACAGCATTTATAGTGCACGCGACATTTTTCGCACGCATGCTCGGCGTGGACGCTCGTGATAAGGAACTTTTTGTCAGGGCTGTCCACGTGCGTCTCCGTGATTAGTACGCTGTGTTTTACTCTATTCCATGTTTAGTCCGTGGCCGATGGGTTACACCGCTGGACACCTCCGTTTCATCTGGCATCCAAAACATACGGGCCGCACAAATGTTTACGTCATCGCTTGACTCCTGGATGAACATTTACGCGGAAGTAAATGATACATTGTATACATATCAACAAACTGATTTCATGTCTTGTTTGTAATGGTAACCAGCAGTGATATTTGGACAAACTAATACGCGTTTGGCTATAAGGTAATGTACTTATTAACTACACAAGGTGGCCAGTTACTTCTAGCATTCGTCAACATTTGCATAATCAATGGATCTGATTATTCCTTTAAGTGAACACCAATTAATAGCCTTCCACTCCTTCAATAACATTCATTTCACTGTTTTTTATCATGTCGTTGACCATTTTTTCACCATCGTACTATCTGACCATTTATTTATCTCGTATGTGTCCACTTATTCAACGTTATCCCATCCTCTTGGAGGAAGGTTCATTCCTCTATTCGTTCATTTGTTGGCTCGCTCACTCATTCGTCCACACATTCGTAGGCTCGTGTTTCGCGTACCTGCTCAGCGATCGCCTCCTGTGGTGACACGTAGACGCAGCGAGCGTCCGACTGCTCCTGCGCGAGTAGATGAAGAATCGCAAACTCCCCACAGATGGTCTTACCGCTGCCGACGGGCGCTCCGATGAACACGTTGTCATCGGAGTTGTACACAGCGTTAAACACTGCACAACAACAACAACAACAACAACGTGTGTTAGATGAGGATGGTTCGCTGTGTTACTGAACAGTACGAGAGGGAGATTGTCGTACCAAGAGCTCATGATAACACTTATTACGAGCGTTGTTGTTATGAGGGCTTACTGTTATGTGATTTAACACTACAATAGAAACTTTGTGCATTAGATGAAGATAGTTCTGTGGTTCATCAACAACCCACCAATCACGCAAACAAACATTAGTTTCAAGGTTGTTCCAAGGTTCAGTAGAGAACAAGATAACATTGCGATGGATGGTTTAGCGAACGAATCTGGTAGCCACAAACGTTTCTGAGTATCAGCAATACATTGTATGTAACTACTACACTGATACGTCAACGCATTTTGAAATCGCAAATTTGATACGATTGCAGATGATATCAGATGCAACTATGAATTAGCTACGATGACAAACTATATGCAATCACAAAAAATGCAATCACAATATATAGATAAGAGAAAGCTGATCATACACAGCGTTATACAGTGCTAGATAGGATCAGTTGGAGGAGACACATCGAACGGACACGGAGTACCAACCCTGCGTCTGTATGGGGTTGAAGAAGGGGAACTTCTCCTGATAGAGAGCCTCGAATGCCTCGTTGCGCAGAGCAGTGACAGGCAGCGGCTGTAGATCCAGCAGCTCCGTGGGAGGAGGGTACTTCTCCGGCAAGATGAGATGTCTGAAGGACACGGGCAGTTGCGTCTCCGAACCTACAGACAGGCAATAATAACCACAATGATGGCTACAATAGAGATCAGAGTATAGGAACCTACAGATAAGAGATAAGAACCACAATGATGGCTACAATAGAGATCAGAGTATAGGAACCTACAGATAAGAGATAAGAACCACAATGATGGCTACAATAGAGATCAGAGTATAGGAACCTACAGATAAGAGATAAGAACCACAATGATGGCTACAATAGAGATCAGAGTATAGGAACCTACAGATAAGAGATAAGAACCACAATGATGGCTACAATAGAGATCAGAGTATAGGAACCTACAGATAAGAGATAAGAACCACAATGATGGCTACAATAGAGATCAGAGTATAGGAACCTACAGATAAG